CAATGCACATATTGTAGGCAAGTATCTGGATGAAAACAAGATACTGTAATAGGTCAATAGTTTAATTACTTGTGGCAGTGTGATTTTTCAGATGGTAGTTTTGCACTCTCTTTAGAAGAATGCTTCTGGAATGCAAGCTAACATTCAATCTGAAAATACACAAGTCAAAGTTGAGATTACTTATACAATAGAAAATCCATACTTTGGGCAGATAGTACTGAACTCACACGTTTTACTCTATTATAAGAGTGAATTGAGCTAGTACTCCCTACTCAGGAACCCCTCATATTAAAAGTAAAGAGGTCCCCAAAGAGTAGTTCAAAGTATTTGAGTTGGAACACCTGAAGGAGTTTGAGAATAGTATTTAGTGTTCAAACTCTCACTACTAACAATAAATGTTTACTTAATAGTATTAATTACATGGGGAATACGCTACGGCATATTTAAGGAACATACTATGTAATATTCTATTCTAAGTTAATTCTTGTTAAAACACACCTTCATGAATACAAGTGGGTGTATCCTAGCAAAACTATATATATATATATATATATATATATATATATATATATATATATATATATATATATATATATATATATATATATATATATATATCCTCAAGTTTGGTGCATTTGACTTATATGTTCAAGTTTGAGGAGGAGTGTTGATATTTGTATATACCTTAGAATAGAATATTCCATAACGTATTCCTTAAATATGCTGTAGCATATTTCCTGTGTAATAATTAATATGATTAGCTATACAATTCACTATATAATATAACTAACGTAGTGCTATTCTATTCAGTCACAGTTTTATCTAAATGTTTATCTGCTTCTCTCAATACACTCTGATAACATGTTGAAATACGAGATAAAGAGAGACATTTAGATAAAACCCTGTGAGTGAATAGGAAGTTGTAGTACTATAGTGAACTGTACAACTAATCGTATTATTATATAACTCAAAAGGATTTTCCCAATTTTCTTTTATATATCAGTTGGTTTATATCAGAGGTGTAACTTGATTATCACAAATTAGTTTCATTGACTTGACATCTCCTAAATTGAGTTGCTAGAGTAACTGTCTTAACCATGTAAGTTTACTGGTTGTTGCTGCCATAACAAGATACTTTGCTTTTGCACTCGTACTTGCAACAATATTGTGGTTCTTGCTCCGCCATGATATCAAATTACCTTCAACAAGGACACTATACAGAAATGGATCTTCTATTGGATGGCGAACCTGCCCAATCAGCATCAAAGTAGCCAATACCATGAAGAATATGCAGTTCATGTGTATCTAATTTAGATCACAAAACTTCTATTTATAATGGTGTTACAATATATACATTAAAAATGCCTAATTGATTTGCACTAACTTAGGAAGTTATATACTCTAAAAATATTAAGTAATCTAGGAAGTTGTACAACTAAAGGAATATCAATTGATTCACTAAATTCTAACAAGCACTGTGTATGGACGGTTATTAGTTCACATTATATTGTTGGCTGGAACTTGGACTCTCTTCCATCCCAATATTAAAGTCCCAGTCTAGCTGCATCATCAATATTTAATGTTTTATATTCCTGATTGTATATAAAACATTAGATAAATCATATCTTTTTTGCTCTGAATCTTTGTCATTTATTGTAGTGTTATGATGACTTTGTTTTTGTATCATACTATCTTTGACATTATGGTCTACTTCACTATATTTCTCCTTGTCACTTTTCTTGATAAGCTTTTGATGGATTTGATGTCCCTTTGAGCAGGTCCTTACCAACTCTTGAAGTGTTGGGAGAAATCTCTTTAATGTCAATCCTAAGATGGAACGTGAAGACCGACATGGAGAAGACAATATGCTCTTCAACATATGGACAAACAATTCTGGTTTGAATATTTTCTTATTGTTATAATGAAGTTATTTTGTTAGTATATGCTGCCAAAACTTATTTGATTGGTCTGTGGTTGTCTTAGTTTGATACGTCGCTTTACAAATCTCAAGTACTGAGTTCAGTCCATATCACTTAGCAACTTAAACCTTTTTGAACAGTTAATCATGCAAGAAATTTAGTAGCCTAGACTTTTTCTATTGAAATAGTGATGGAAAAATGTTCCATTTTAATCTCTTTATTGATCATCTTAGAGTTTGGGTTGGGCCTAACTCATCCCTACACGATTGGACATCCGGAGCATGGACATAAATGGTTGGTGGTCCAATAACAAAGAAAACTTGATAGAAGGTGGCCCAATGGATCTTGGATAAGCTTTGATATCATAAGAAACTGAGATGGGCCTAACTCATCTCTACAAAACTGGTTTGGATGGCCCGACAAATCTTAAAGCAGACTCTGATACCATCTTAGAATTTGGGTTGGACCTAACTCATCCCTATTAAACCGGGTTGTAAGAAAATGTCAGATCCATTATTAGGCTGCCTTATATTCATTGCACGACAATAATTTCAACTGTTGTGTCAAGACTTCCCTTATCACTTCAACTGAAAACTGTAAGAAAATACATTGCATGAGCCATGAATAACTCTTCAAGCTCTTACAGATAATGCGGGTTCCATTAGCTTTTGGTTTTAATTATAATCATACTTGTGGCTATCTTATTTTATAGGTCAACGGAAATGAAGTTGCTTTCTTATCACTATCCTGCAAAAATGAGCTCTGGTAAGTTTCTGGTCCCTTCCTTTCTAGCCATGTATATTTTATTTAGCCATCAAATTTTAGCCCCATAATTTAGATCACTATATTTCATATTCATAAGTATTGGATAATTTATTTTGACATAACGCAACTTCTTATGACATAAAACAACCAAATCAAATTTAAGAGCCCCCGTAAAAGAAAGGCACGAACAACTCACAGGTGGTCGCTGAATCTGACAGTTTCTCTACCAAAATCTGTGATAAAATTATATGTAATCTCATTAACTATTAGAATTTTGATTTCTAACAGGAACTTTCAAAATATTGTAGGAGTCCAGAGTCTTTTCCTTTTCTTCATGATGAAGTTGTTGCAGCCGCAGTAGATGTTATCGAGAGCATATCTCCAACCCAAAATGAAAAACAGGTCTAGTTTGTTCAGGCTTGTTGCACTTCTGTTTCTCCCATTAATTTTTTCTGGATTCGTGATTCAACTTATGTTACCATAGGGAGGAGCACCTGCCATCTTCCTTAAAATAGCCAAGAACTTCAAAGCAAAGAAAATCGATCACGATACAAATCAAGCAGTTCATAATAATTATTTGGAAAATTTAGAACGATGTTTCTCCAGTCCTCCATTTTTAAAACCTTCTTCAGGTACCGAAGATAGGTTGGATGATTTTGAGCTTGACATAGGTTTGTCCTTAACATCTACCAGCTATACTTAACATCTTCTACTACCAACTATTGTTTATATTTTTTGAAGTATTTTCATTCTCTCGCAGATGAAATTCATATTGATGAACCTGCGGCCTTTTTATCTCAGCAGAAAATCCATGTTGACAAGAAAGGCATGTCTTAATTTTATTATATTTTTCTAAAAAATATTTCTTTTAAGCATTGAATGAGTGATTGCCGTGCAGAAAAAACAAAAGAAACTGACAGACAGAAGTTACTTGAGGAGTCAGCCACAGACCCAAAACCAAAAGCTAGAACAACAGAAGAAATCAAGGCAAAATACAGAAAGACGGGGGTAAATCTTAGAATTGAAAATTATGTAGTTTACCCGTTATAGCTCACACGTGTTGACCTAGTCAATTGTTTCAGGATGCCGCTACGGCAGCTGCACTTGCTAGGGATAAGCTTGTAGAGCGGCAAGAAAAACTCCAGGTAAGATTATTATTCTGACTATGCTGGCATTTTCAAATTTTGTTTATTAGGTTTCTATCTAACCATCTCTTCTCGTCATGTTTACTAGTTGCTCAACGAACGTACTGAAGAGTTGCAGAATGGGGCACAAGACTTCGCTTCCATGGCAAGTGAACTTGCTAAACGAATGGAAAATCGTAAATGGTGGCAGCTATAAAGTTGCTTGATTTCTTGTATTCATCGACATGTTCTGCTGTGCTCGTTTAGAAGTTGAAATTCTGTTTACACTTAGGCCTCACTTGTTTTGAAAGGTAGCTCTGATTTCTTCCCTTCTTTAAGCATGTTAGTGTAACTTTTAATGTTGTTATAGTGTAGTTTTGATATTGTCATATTTTGTACAGCACATTATTTTGTATATATCAGCCTCAATAAGTTGAGCATATGTAGCGGTAATTTATTTTACGCAATGTAAAGGTAACTTGGGTTCTGAATCACTAATAAATTATGAAGTACTGGGAATATCTATAATATTTCTAAGGACTAGACTATAACAATCATTTATTGATCAAATTATGGCCCTCTTTCTTTTTCTGTTAGTTTTTTGGTTTCCTATTGGTTCACTCCACTAGAGGCGATTCTCTGGTTTGCAACATTATGAGAGTTAATATATCATCTGCTAGGGTCAAATCCTGTTAGTTACTGTTAGAAATATAGGTTGTGCCTTTTTTATTTATTGATATGATCAGTACTATATATACATTGAACGTATCTTCTAGTGATTCTCACACAATAATGAGTAATTATTTACGATAAGCTCTAATAATGTTGTTTATGTGTTTATATAGTCTAAATAATAGTTCTTTCTATATTTACTTAATCTAATACATCTCCATAATCGAAATTTAAGGTGAACGAATGTTGAGACAGTCCCTAAAATTTTCAAAGAGTTGCAGCGAAAGTTCCTCAGTAAAGATATCGACAATTTGATACCAGAAGTGAATGTGTAATACTTACACTTGACTATAAGCAATTTTTTCATGCAAAAAGTGTTTATCTATTTCAATGTGTTGGTTTGTTGATGTTGAGTTGGATGGTCAGTGACGTTATCATAATAGGACAATGTAATTCTAAAAGTGGATTTTGAATCCACCAGGATCAAGACACGACATTGGCTACTCCTTGATATTCGGCCTTAGCGCTTGATCGAGACAAGGTATGTTGACGTTTTGCGGACTACGGAGATTAAATTATCACCAACATACACACAATGACTAGAGGTAGACCTTTCAGTGTCTAGACATTGCCAAGTCAACGTCTGTGCAAGAGATGCGCTTGTTGATGGAGGAGGGGTATAAATGGAGGTTGAACTCAAGAGTACCATGAATATATCAAATGACTTGTTTTAAGGCAGACATGTGTTGTATTTTTTGATCATGCATAAAAAGACACACTTGTTAAGCTGCATATGATATATCTGATATTGTAAATGTCAAGTGTTGTAATGCGTCGACAAGACTGCGATATTCTATTAAACCATGATAAAGGTTACATGATGATCCACTAAGTTTCGCCTTGGTGTCCATCAGTGTAGTTGATGGCTTGTATAAGAACATACATGCACGTTCAAGAATCTCTTATGCCTATATCGAATGAGATACCCGTTCAAGAATATACATGCACATTCAAGAATCAATGTCTGCGTAAAAGACACACTTATCGACGGCGGAGGGATATAGGTGGAGGCTGAACTCAAGAGTATAATGAAATGAAAACCCACTAAATTCCGCCTTGGTGTCCACCAATGTAGGTGATGGTTTACAAAAGAAATAAATGTATGTTCAAGAATCTCTTATATGCATATTTCTTTTGAGAGACAACAATACCACTTAAATATCTTGTAACAAATATGCCTATAAAATAACCTAGTGGATCTAAGTCCTTTATTGCAAATTTAGAACTCAACTTGGATATAGTATACTCATGAAGGAAGTTGGATGAAGCATAAGAATAATGTCATCCATATATAGAAGAATATAAGTGATGTCATTATTACGATGATAAATAAATAATGAGTGATCAGAAATGTTGTGATATAATTAGTGAATCACTGATAACATGCATGTGATGTTGGTTTAAGTCCATAGAGAGACTTCTTGAGCTAACATACATGATCTAAGAGTCGAGTATGACGAAAACCAGGGTTAATGCATGTAAATGGTTTCATTAAGATTTGTATGCAAGAAAATATTTTTTATGAAGGCACCGTGATTTTGACATGATAACACTGAGCATTGTGCGATAGTAGTCAGTTTAAATACTAGGTTGAAGGTTGCACCACAATCGACACCAATTTGTTGATTTTCACAATTACCTACAAGAAGGGCTTTATATCGCTTAAAAGATACATCACAATTCTTTTTGTGCTTAAAAATCACAAAATTTCAAATAACATTTGTATTAGAGCTAAGTCCTATGATTTATTTTCAATAAGAGCATATTCGTCTTTCATAGTAATTTTCCAATCAGGATAATTTAATTCTTAAATAGGGTTTGTGGATACGGAAGATATGGAATTATGAGATGAGTTGTGAAGGTTAAAGAGTTTGTGAGGGTTTAATAATGTCACGTTGTGCTCAAGTAGTAATTTGAGGAGAGTGTGGTGGTATTGTTGGTGAAGGGACATGTGTGAGGATGAGGTAATTGTCGATGTTGGTTTTGGGATCAGTTTGAGAGAAGAAGAGATATGTGTGGATGATGAGTTCAGTGTTAAAGGTTGGTTATGAGGGGGCGCAAAGGATTTGATGGGCGAGGTTATGCAGATTTAGGTAGATGTTTGTAAGGTGTTAGGTTGAAGGTTATTAGAGGTTGTATTAATTGGTGGAGGGTCACATTAGAATATGAATGAAGAAAAGATGTGGAGTCATTATCTAAAAAATTATAGTCAATTGTTGTAGGATCAGTTAAGTTAGAAAAAAGGAAACATATTTTCTCCAAAAATAACATGTCGAGAAATGAGTATTTTACAACTTGACAACTCATACTACTTATATCCCATATAATTTGGTGGATAACTCAAGAATACATAGTGTTGACAGAGCTTGTAACAAATTTTTAGAGGTGAAGGAAATTTGAGGATAACAAAGACACTAAAAGACTTGAAGATGAGAATAGAAAAGATTTTTTTGATAGAGTATTTTAGAGGATGAATGAATGACAAATTTTTATTTGGAAGAATATTATGTAAATAAGTGGTCATTTGTAGGGTATGATGTCAAAATGATGGCGGGACAAAGACATGGGCAAGAAGGGTGTAAATGATGTTACTGATATTATGGTTTTTTTTTCTTCTTTCAGATTTTCCATTTTTTAGGGGAAGTGTGAGGACATGAAAAAGAGGATAATGTTACATGTGTTTATAAATGTGTCGTAATATGTTGAAAGGCTAAAAAACATGCCACATGTTATTGACATTGATTGTGCTACCTCATTGATGAAGTATGTTGCAAAGGTATTTCTTACATCTTATGATTTCCTATGTAGATTTCATATAACAAATGTTGGACTTGAGACTTCACACATAGGGGGGGGGGGGGGGGGGATTGTGTAGTTTGAAAAAAAATTGTTTTGAAAACTTTTGACAAGTTAAATCAGAGTTTAAAATTATTTTAAAAGTTTAAGCAGCGGTAAATAAATAGCAGAAAGTAAATAGTTAAGGGAAGAAGAACACAAAGAATTATAGAGGTTCGATCAAATCAACAGGACTTACTCCTTTCCCCGAGACTTAGTCTTGATAGTTTCCAATAATACTCGAGAGCCTTTAGTAGGGAAGGCTCACGAACCCCCTTATACAAGAAAATGATAGTTGACCTTCAACCAAATATTACAAGACGATATATATGGGCGTTTGCGTCTTTTCTTTAATATAATACTGAGAGTAAAGTGACCAATCTTGCTTCCCAACGGAGGACTGAAGCAGTTCGTCTCCTTTCCACGAACTCGTATCTTAGAGCGCTTAGTCTTCAAGTTCTAAAATATTTGAGCTCAATTCCTCTGATTTAACAGGATAACCAAACAACCTATGAGATTTTAATCGGGTTGGTTTCTTAACCTAGGAAGATTTTAATATCAGGCTAATCTTCAACCTATCTTAGTTTTAACCAGACTAACCAAGAAACAAGGAAGATTTTAATAACGGCTAATCTTTAAACTATGACTCATCACATAATCCCCAACCAAAACTTTTATCGAGTTTATCTTCTAACCCCAAATAATCTCTAATTGGAAAGTATTCAACCAAGGTATATATAAACGATATTGTTCTGGACTGGGCCCGTCCTGGCCCAAGAGCAAGAACGAAAGCCCAATCCAAGCAACTCTACAAGAGGCGCGCGCCCGAAGATTCCCGCCAGCGCGTCGACCAGAAGCCACAACCATGCCCGCCACTGCCCGCGAACACGATGTCGTCGTCCCCATGAAGTCCAGCTCGAGCACCCTCCTCGTAGGGCAGACTACGACCGTTACTCCATCACCTGAATTCCGGAAAGACCGCGTCCTCGTCCCTCCGTACTTCTCGCAGAGCATCACCAGGAAGGGGACCACATGCGGGTTCCCACTACACACGTAGAACCTGGAAGTTCCTTTATTGGGCCAGTCCTGGTCGGCCCAATGAAGGGACCTTGACCCCGCGCTGGGGGCTATAAATACCCTCTATTTCTAGAGGGTCAGGTATTTATTCTCTTACCCATATACACACTTTTTGCCTGCTCGTACTATCACTCACTTTAGCATCGGAGTGCCTTGCAGGTAACCCCCCCCCCCATCTCGTTTAACTTCTGCTCGGAGCTAGTTGTGACGGTCCAAGTCTGATCAGGTAAGATCAGTGGCGCCGTCTGTGGGAAACTAGCTTCCCCGTCTTGCAAAAACTCGAAGACTAAAGCTCAACTCAACTATCACCGTCATGGCTGACCAAGTTCGTGATGAACAAAACATCCGCGTCGTCGACACCAACAACGGCCTCACAGATAAAAACGGACACCCCGATAACGCCGGTAACCCCGGTCATAACACCCTCCCTGTGGGAACTGCCCACGGGCCCTCAGCCCACCGCGACAGAGTTACTGCATCATCCTCCTCGGTCCCTCCGCCGCTCGAAGAAGACAATGCAGCTCCCACAAACTATCGAGCTGCCCAGTTTCAGGAAGTCCCTGTACCCGCCGGGGAAGATGCCACAACCCGCGCGCTGTTCGCGGCGATCAATCAGAAGAATTACCTCATCTTCTCCCAAGGGGAAAGATTGACGGCACTAGAAGACGATCGAAGACCCCCGAGGAGGCACCGGAGGCCCCAGACTCCACCTCCTCGAGTAACAGAGGTACATCTCTCGTCTCCCCCGCGGAGACACTACAGAGATACCTCCTGAAGCCCGTCACCCCGACCCTCGGGGAGACGGCCCCCTTTGGAGAGGCAACCCATCATTGAAGTCGGGGGACGCGGCCATGCCCCCACACGACAAGAAAGAAGACACTCCGGAGAGGGGCATGGAAGAATCAACCAACGAGCACCACGCTCAAGAGATGCCCAGCACGACCAGGACCGTCGGGCTCAACAATATTACAGGTCCCCATCCCTGTCCCCAGAGCGAAGTGACGAGGACGACCCCCGCGGTCCCCTGTCACAGGCCATCATGGAGGCGCCCATTCCCCCGGGCATGGAGAAGCCTCCACATCTGAAGGAATACAACAGAGTCGCGGACCCGGTCGACCACATAGACGGATTCGAGGCTATGTTGCACTACCACAATGTCGGGGGACCCATCAAATGCCAGCTGTTTCCCACGACCCTCAGAAAGGCAGCCATGGATTGGTATAAAGGCCTCGCTCCGGGATCAATCACCTCGTGGCGAAACCTGAAGAACCAATTCATAAGTTCGTTCACTGCGTCTCGGAGACACCCAAAGACCGAGGCGGATCTCGAGGCCATCATCCAGAGACAGGATGAAACCCTGAGAGAGTTTATCAATCGCTTCAACCGCGAAGCCATACAGGTCCCCTGCGCGGACCACATGAAGAGATATTTGCTGGAGAGGGGGCTCCTCCCCGGCACAGAATTCAGAAAGGCAGTGGGCATCGAGCCACCTAGAACATTCGATGCCCTCCTCGAGAAGGCGCATGCGTACATGGATTACGAGGAGAGGGAGGCGGCCAACAGAGCCCGAGACCCCAAGACTCGCGGATCCAGCAGCAACCCGCGCCAGGAAGCTGCTCCTCCTCGACGAACCGGGGAGAAAAGAAAAGAGGACAAACCCCGAGAAGTCTGAGAGCAAAGAGGACCTTCGGGGCGCTTTACCGAATACACTTCGCTCACAGCTTCTTGCGAATGCAT